GTTGCAGCTTCAGCTCCAAGGCCGGCTGGCTGAAAGCAGGTTTCTGGGGTTTGTTTAGCTTCTATAATTGAAACAGTTGCATTTCGGAGCTGTTGCTTTCAGGCTCAGGGCCGGGCTGCGGCAGGCAGGAGGGGAACCTTGGCTTCCTCTATCACCGGGGCAACCAAGCCTCATGTTCGCTTCAGCTGTGTGGCTGCTGGCCGCCATCTTGGTTGGCAGTTAATTTGCATATCACCCTGATTAGCCCATGGGAAGCGTAGCGGAGGCATGGTTAATTACCATGTTTGTCTATTATTGTATAGGATATTTAAATGCCATTTAACAAAGAAAAGTCAACCAAAAAAATGAGTTCGCATGTCACCTCTGACACGCGTGTCATAGGTTCGCCATCACTGTCCTAGGTGATACTGACCATCCTTGGAGCCACACTTCGGATACCGCTGGTCTGTGGTTTGAAGCTAATAACCACTTCTAATCATGAATTGTAGTGAATTTTAGAATAGCATAGTTCAAAGGAGGACATTGGGTTGAAACAGGTAAGATACAAATACTGATTGCTTGGCTAGGAGAATAGCCAGAGTCTGGGCAGGACAGTTAGAACAAGGGACAATTGGGAACATGAGTTGCTGGCCTTGGCCCCAAAGCCTCTTAGCAGCTATGTAACATATCTAGCTAGGAAAGCCTGACTCTAGTTTCCACCTCTGCACTACTTGCTTTTTCTGTTTAATACTTCTCCTGGCTCTTTGTATGGCTGGTTTCTTCCCATCATTTAGGTCTCAGCTATGACAGTTCTTCCTCATTGAGACTTCCCATCCAAAAGCCTCTTCCAGCACTTCCTGTCACATCAGAAAGTGCAAATAGCTCTTAAAGTGTATGTTGCCTGGTTGTTTACCCACACAAGAAAGCAATCTTCTTGAAAATGGGGCTCTTTCTGCCTCATTCATCAATGTGTTTCCAGTGCTTGGTACAGATTAGGCCTGGAGTAAATTTTGTGCAGGAATAAATAAGTGGTTTGGATCACAGACCTTATTTGAGGGGTTTTATGAATTATGAAATCTTTATGCATTTTAGTTTGGTATTGATGTAGCTGTTTTCATTTTTTTTTTTTTCCCTCACAGCATGTTTTGGAAAGCAACCATTGTACTCAGTAGAGGAGAATCAGTTCAGTATCGCTACTTCAAAGGGAGCTTTTTAGAACCAAAGGTATGTTTTCTTCACCTAGTTTCCAGTTTCTTTAGCAAACTTCTTTCAAAAGCAACTAATTTAACTTTGGAAACATTAAAAGTAAAACGAGTTTGTATTGATCAAATAAAGAAAATAGAACTCTAGATTAATAACATTTTAGTACAAAAAGCAAGGAAGTAGCCACTTCAGAGACAGCTGATGTCTGTAATGGAATTTTTAAAAGACTAATAGTAAGTATGTTGCAGTATTGGTATCATGATATAGGTTTTAATGATAAATAAATATTTTTGATAGGTAGGTATGCATTTTCTGTAACTTTTGTAAACTAATTAGTAACCAGTTACAAGGTTTTTCTTTTTGTCTTGTTTTTTAATCGTGAAGTGGTATAAGTACATTTAGAGGAGTATATAGCCAGCTTTTAGTGAATAATTATTTTTAAAAATTATTTCACAGCAGCTGTCTCTTAGTGGCTGCATTGTTTAACTTCTTTAAAAACTGAAGTAATTTCTCTTAGATTTTTTCAACAATGGTGTTGACAGACCAGGATCTTTCCTGAATTCCTTTGGAGTCTATCGAATATAAATCTGCTTGCTCAAAATGATTTATTATTTGGGGAGTGTTTTTGTATTTAGAAAAAAAAGTTGATTCTTTCCCTCTTTTTAAAAGATACTCATTTGCTGAAAGGATTCTTTTCCTTCAGAGTTTTACCTTTGAGCACACTTGGGCTGCATGTGAACAAGGGCTTAGGCAGGAGCCTAGGACACAAAAAATGGATTAGAACTTTTAAGAAAATTTCTTCCCCTTTAGGATCATTGAATACTTGTAACATATGAAAAATGCAAGCAGCCACTGTTACCTCATTCTCTTAGCCACCATTATAAAAAAAGAAAACTGACAAACCCACTTCTGCTGTCTTTTGCACCTATTACGTTTATTCCAAGAATATATTGTAAATACTCAGTAATTAAACTTAAATTACATTATGGTTAATCATTTTGTTGGCTTATCTTGACAATAGTCTCACTTTATGACTTAAAAAAAGAACATTTCTTAGTATAGGGATTATGCGTCATGGCATAATTCTTCAGTACATATTGAACAATTATGCATAGACACATAGATCCACAGCACTCATGATGTTGAAAGCTTATTTGTGGATCCTGGTATGTGAAATTTGTAACATGTGAAATCAACTAAATTTTACTTAAAGGGGCATTTGGACCAGAAAAATCATAATGAATCTTTTGGGCATAGTTTTCTAAAGTAAGACTGTTGTCAACACAGGTTAAAATAAGCCAATCTACAGTATTTCCCCTCTTCATTGAAAATGTAACCAAAAGCAGCAAATCAGTCCAAAATGCCTTTGAAAAAATTGGCAAGAAGTCTGCTTACAGTAAGAAACAAGTTTTTCCCCTTGTAATACTTGCAAAAGTTTACAGTATGTGTTGGTGAGTGTGTTTCTTTAAGTAGGTGCTCTGTATCGTGTACACATGTACCGTGTGATGCAGGGGCTGCCATGGTAAGTATGTTTTTCATGGAATAGAGTAAATACCTACATAAAATCCCATGCATATGGCTAGAGGGTTTTCCCCCCCCATATGCAAACTTAAAGGGACACTTTTTTTGTAAGTTGGTGGCGCTTTTTAAATGAAACTTACTTTTTAGTAAAAGGTAATTATGAAACTGTCTCAATTGTGCATTGTCAACTGATAAAACTAATGTGCAAGGAATCTTAAAATCATGCAATGATGTAAATTATTGGAATATATATGTTATAAATATAAAGAATAATAGGAAACCAAAGTAATTATGAAAGCATTAAAAAGCTGAAATGGGTAATAAGATTAATTTTACTGGTCAGAGTTTTAGAAGGTGATCTAAAGCAGTTGTAGAGCCTAAGCTAAAAACCTTGTGATCTTGTCACTTGACCTTTAGACTTTAGCTTCCTCATCTTTTAAATGAAGAGTTTGAACTATAAATTTCTTAGGTCCATTGCTACTATTTTATTGTAAATAATGTGTAAAATTTTACCATTCATATTCTCTTATATTTTGCTCCTTCTGGCATATTCCTTTTAGTTTAGAAGTTGAGTCTGGCAGTCCTTTTTCTCTTAATTTTTCATAGCTACGTGTTCTCTTATACTTTGTAGAATTAGAATAAGGTTAATATGTTGAATTTTAAGATAATTTTATTGGTGACAAATCAAAATACTAAGTTATGTAAACATAGAACTCAAAGGTAGTAGATATTCCTGGAATGAAAACATTGGTATGAGCCTGCATAGTCCATTAATTTCACATTCTCACCGAAGTAATTTTTGAGTTAACATGCAATTTAAACATTTCTTTAACCCATGTCCACCCCTTCTTTCTTGTGGCTAGAATTAGGGTAGTTACCTCATACAGAAGTGTTAGCCAATTTTTAATTATATTGTCTTTGAACTGCTTCCTTCATCTCAGTGTATGTAGCTCTTTATTTTGCAGTAACATTCTGTTTCCAATTTTTATAGGTATTAACATTCACTTATAATTAGATTCATTATAAACTTTTATTTTATTCTTAATTTCTCTTGATTTTCATTTAGAATAGCCCAGGGTTATTTTGGCTTCTTTTTACAATGGTTTCTTTTTTTATTAAATATATTTTTATTGATTTTTAAAAAATATATTTTTATTGATTTAACAGTCATCCAGAGGGAGAGAGAAACATCAGTGATGAGAGAGAGAATCATTGATCGGCTGCCTCCTGTACGCCCCCCGACTGGGGATCGAGCCCACAACCTGGGCATGTGCCCTTGACCAGAATCAAACCTGGGACCCTTCAGTCTGAAGGCTGATGCTCTATCCACTGAGTCAAACCAATCAGGGCTGTTTTTATTGATTTTTTATTGATTTTTATTTTTTTAGAGAGAGGAAAGGAGAAGGATAGAGAACTAGAAAAACATCAATGATCAGCTGCCTCCTGCACCCCTCCTATAGGGGGGTATCAAGCCTGCGCCCTGGGCATGGGTCAACCCCTGGCATGGGTCATTGCTCAACCAGAGCTACACTGGCTGGGCTGTTTTGTAGTTTTAAGTGTATATATCTTACACATTTGAATTAAATATATTCCTAAATATTTTTATTTTATTTTTTGATGCTATTGTAAATGGATGGTGTTCTTTTAATTGCAATTTAACTATTTATTGCCAGTGGTTTATTAAATATAATGAAATTCTAAATGCTAAATACCCTCAGCTATTAACTTCATATTTGAACCATCGTATAGAGATATCTATCCACCTACCTTTGCTGTACTCCTTCCTAGGTGACCATTTTCCTTAATGGTCTTATTAAAAATAGTGATGCTTAAGTAACTATGGTCTGGCCTCAGACAGCATGAATAAAAATTCTTCAGAGATCCTTTTACATGCACATTTTCCCCAGAATAGTGAAGAAAACAATTAGTAAAATATTAAAAGTGCACATTTACATTTTTCATGATAGTTAGAAGCAGTGCTATTATATGAGTATTTGATAATTTGTTTGGTGGTTTGTTAAAACAAAAATTTCAGTCTACATATTGGATAATATTTTAAATTTCAGTGCTTGATGTAGCTGAGTTATGTCAATAATTGTTTGAGAAGCAATCAGTAAGACACGTGTGTGTATGTGGAAACATAGTTTTGGGGTGTCTTTTTTTGTTGTTTTTTGTTTTTTTGTTGTCGTTGTTAGTATGCATGCTTGAAAACATTCTAGCAATCATCTGATTTAATATATACTAAATTGTAAAATAACTCCACCAGAACTGCTAATGGAATACTGTCCTGGACTGATACTGTTCCTTTTTTTCTCCAAAGATACACCTTCCACTTAACTCCAAAATGCTTAAAATTGTGACAGCCTTTTACAGAATGGAGCTGTTCTTTTATTTATTATATTTTTATTGATTTCAGAGAGGGAGAGCTGTTCTTTTTTTCTAAGATCTTGATTGTTTTTCATGGAATAGAGCCTTAAAAAGGAATGCATGTTTTGGAGTCACTATTGAGATTTTTAATATGTCAATGCTCAGGTTTTTAAAAAAAAAATTTAAAAGAACTTCAGTAAGCTAAAATTTAAACTTCTAAAGTTTAATAAATTAGTTAATCAACAGGACTATTCTTATGTGCATGGTAAAGTTCCCCTGACAAATCAATTAAAACAAAGACGTCTTTTTTTCCCTCTACCCACTTTATTTTTATGGATTTCAGAGAGGAAGGGAAAGGGAGAGAGAGAGATAGAAACGTCAATGATGAGAGAGAATCATTGGTCAGCTGCTCCTGCACACCCCAAATTGGGGTTTGAGCCTGCAACCTGGGCATGTGCCCTTGACCGGAATCGAACCTAGGACCTTTCAGTCCTCAGGCCAATGCTCTCCACTGAGCCAAACCAGCTAGGGCTCCTCTACCCACTTTTTAATCTTTGCTGAGACTTAATATATTCATGGCACCCTTTAAGTTACCTTTGATTAGTAACTTCTATAAGAATGTAAACCCATACCCTCTTTTAGTGAATAAGATTTTTTTTTCCTTTGGGTAGGGTATGTTGGAAACATGGGAAGAATAGGTTAGTTTTTTCTGGTTGCTTATTATTGCTAAGAAACATGATTCCTATTTTTATGTACGCAATTTGCATCTCTTGAAGATTAGAAAGTTTGATGTTTAAAAAAACTGGAACACTGTAACAGGAGAAAAATATAGTAAAAAAAAAAAATCTAGGAAATGTAGGATTAAATGCATCTCCTTTTAGTTTTTAAGAAAGTTAAATTCGTACTTTAAGATGAGCAGTTTTCACATTTACCTTTTTAAAAACATCTACCCAGTCTACCAATTCATAAGTAAACTTTATAACAAGAAAGTATTTGTCAAGAGAAAATGAGCATTTTTCGTATTATCCTAGGATAAGTGATTTGAATGAGGATCTAGTGCTATTTTAGTTTTCAAATTCCAAAAGTTTGCAAGTTTAAAAAAGATTTTTAAACTTTATTTTTTAAAAATATCTTTTATTGTTTATTTTTTATTATTATTTAAAAATATTTTTATTGATTTCAGAGAGGAAGGGAGAGGGAGAGATAGAAACATCAATGATGAGAGGAGATGATCATTGGTTGGTTGCTTCCTGCATGCCCCCTACTGGGGATTGAACCTGCAACCCTGGCATGTGCCCTTGACCAGAATCAAACCTGGGAGTCTTCAGTCTGCAGGCCGATGCTCTATCCACTGAACCAAACAGTCTAGGGCAAAAATACATTTTTATTGATTTCGGAGAGGGAGAGCGAAACATCAAAGATGAGAGAGAATCATTGATTGACTGCCTCCTGCACACCACCTACTGGGAATCGAGTTTGCATCCTGGGCATGTGCCCTAACTGGGAACCAGACAGTGACTTCCTGGTTCATAGGTCGATGCTCAACTACTGAGCCATACCAGCCAGGTTCTCTGGTTATTTTAAGTGGCAGAATTATCCCTTGTGTTTAATTACATAATGTGCCTAATCTGTTACTTATTTGTTATCACTTGGCGACTTTTAAAAATATCAATATTGAAATCCTATAACGTGTTATAGGAGAGTATTTAATGACATCTAAAGATGTATTATATATAGAGAGAAGCTTACATGTTTTAGGCTTTTTAATAGTATGTTTAGATATGCCTAGAAAAGGGCTTGAGGATTATGTATGAAAATGTTGACAACAATTAACCCTAAGTGGTGTGATAATGGGTGACTTTTTTTTTTTCCTTTTTGCATCCCTGTATTTTACAGCATTTTTTCAGAAGACATGAAGGTTACAGTCAAAATTTGCTTTTAAAATATGTATTTTTGAGGGTTTCATTTTGACACATAAGTTTAATTAGTCATTTAAAAGGTAATTAAAGGATAATTAGGAAGCATTTAATATTTCAGTCTCTTATATGTCGGAAATCTTTGTTGGTAGGTTCATTCTTGTTTTAAAAATTGTGTAGATGTTATTGACATAAAGTTTTATTTTCTTAGTAAAAGAATTTGATAATAGGGAACAATATTAAGAGTTATCACACTATGAATTTAGAAACTCAAAGGCATAAAAAAGTAAAACTGGATGTTAGTTTCACTTTTATCAAATTTGTTCTTCAAATTTACCCGTGTGTGTCTCCTTTCTTTTAGGGTTTCCTGTGCTCTTTAGAAACATTGGTTACTGTGATAGGAGAAATCTGATGTTCTTCCTGTTATCTACTTACTATTCTTAAATGTATATAGTAAAGAACTGTATTATGTCCTCACATTTCTTGAGTAACTTGTGATAGTTGATCTTTAAGTACTTGTTTCTACTATTCCTATGGTCATAGAGTTTAGGCTTTATCCAAACACCTCAAGAGTTACTTAAGATGAGATACTTTACCCAGTAACACACCCCATTGACTAGCTGATATACCAAACATAAACTATATTTATGGTTAACTTTAACTTAGAACAGAATATCAGTTAAAAATTAAAATTTCTTTGAAAAAAATCGAGTATTGTAGGCAGATTTAAGAATGAGTTTTATGTACCAGTTCATCCCGTTTTTCTTTGTTTACTCTCTCATCCCCATTTTCTTCCAGCACTCATCATGATTTATGACCTAGTACATTCCTGATTAGGGGCGTATAATATTGATAATTAAGAGGATGAATTTTTTTGGTTTCATATGTAGTATTAATTTAGGCCACAAACATCTAATGGAGTCATGGGTAGAATATAAGATATAAGAAATTATTGCAGACATTTAACTTTTAAATTGCAGACTATCGGTGGTCCATGTCAAGTCATAGTTCACAAGTGGGAGACTCATCTACAACCACGATCAATAACCCCTTTAGGTATGGGCATTAACTGCATCTGTTTGAGGCATATGCATAAGTTACTAATATGCTGCACAATGGCTTAGTGGGATTTAATAAATTTTTATTCTGAAGTTTAAGGTCAATTTTCACTTAGCATATCATGAATCTTACTTTCAAAACTAAATAGTTGTTAATTGCCTTTCTCTATAAACTATTAGAAATGCTTAATTATTTTTATTTTGAAGGGTTAAATTAATTTATTGTAGACTTTTTATTTGGAGTAGTGACAAAGTTTACAAAGTAACATTCTTTCCTGAGCATCCATGGCTTTATTGGTTACTTGCTCAGATAATTTAGAGAGTTTTCTTTTTCTTTTAGAGAAAGAGGGAAGGAGAAAGAAAAGGAAAGAGAGAAATTGAGTTATTGTTCCACTTATTTATGCATTCATTGGTTGATTCTTGTACCTGCCCTGACTAGGGATCAAACCCGAAACCTTGGGATATCAAGATGATGCTCTGACCAACTGAGCTACCCAGCCAGGGCAAAAACAAAGATTCTTACATTTTTAACTTTAGTGAGAATAGAGCAAGTTATTCAATTTATTCTGTGTTTTTTTTAAATAGTAAATACTTGAATAAATTTGTATGAACAAATTCAAATTTCTTGGTTGTAGCAGACATATTTTCCTCCCTATTTACTTAAGAACCTTGCTGGCTATGTTAAAATGGATATTCAGATCAATTTATAAAAAACATTATTCCGTTTTCTTATTATACCTAAAAAGGCATTTCTCTTCATACAAGTATTTTTTAATTTCCTTTTCCATACTAAGATTAAAACTTGAAGTTTATTTCACATACATTAAATTATCGATTCATCTTTAAATTGACTCATTGCTGAGAAATGCATCTTTCAGTGTCTAAGGAAAATTAGAATGTAAAGATAATAATTGGCTTTCTAGTTACCAGCTTAGAAGGTAGTGAGAGATTCTGCTTTACCCTATAGTAGACAGGTTTTGTTTAAACAGCTATCTCATTCCATCCTCTTTATTGAATTTTCTTTTTATATGTTTTAATACATTTTTGATATTGTATTTAGGATTTTTCTGATAGCATATTTCAGAATTATAATAGTTCTATACTGAGGTTGGAAATTAGGTATGAGTAGTTTAAAATAATTTGCATTTTGAAGCATCTTGCAGTTAAATATATTTTATTATTGTGAAAAGTGGGATGATTATGTTTCTGATCTTTTAAAAAGAAATTTATATCTGAAAAATAGACGCTCTAAACTTAAGAGCTCCATGAAATCTGTCAGAGAATCTTCCTTGGGAACTATCACATTAATTTTGACAAATATTTCAGACCTATGTGTAAAGTAAACAGGAAAGGAAAGAGCAGGGAATTAGTATGTTATTCATAAGGTGGGGCTTAGTAGCTTATCTATTTAGTTGAAACTTCTGTTAGAAGGGCATGTGCTAGAACTTACTCTTTTGATAGTTCCTCACAGCTCTGAGTATACAGGTAAGTTTACGCTGTTTGTAAAGCTTTTAGTTGGCTATTGAGAATAATGGAGACTTGAGGAGAATTACATTTTAGATTAGTTCAGAAAATGCATTACATAAGAATAAGCATTTTAATTGTGCCAAGACCTATGGTTTGAAAAATGAACCAGGAGATACTGTTGTCCAGTAATCTGTCAGGCTCACAAATTGTGGGTGAAGTTTGTCCCAGTGCCTCTAGAGCACCATCTGAGGAGTCCTCTTTCTCTTCCTTGTAACATCTGAATAATCACTGAGTATGTAAGAACTGATTGTTTGATAGCCTTCTTAAAAGGGAATTCTTTATTGAGGGCTACAATAAATATGCTTATTCACTTTGGGCTGCTTTAAAATTTTAGATTTCATATTTTTAAAAATGCTTAAGGTGGGTAATCTCTCAGTTGTCCGTATACATTGTGAATTTTAACTAGGTTTTCTATTTTCCTTCAATTCTAGAAAGTGAAATTATTATTGACGATGGACAATTTGGAATCCACAGTAAGTGAGACTGAGCTTAAAAAATTTTTACTGATATGGTTGAGATGTTACATAACATTCATTAGAAACAGATATAGGGAAATATGACAGAGTGTGATATTGGAAATAGAGGCTAAATCTAAGAAACAAATGCCATTCTCTTAAATAATAGTTTCCACTACAGGTGGGGCAAAAGGTTTACAGTTGTGAGTACGCGAAACACAGAGTTTATTCTTAAATTATTACTAGAGGCCCGGTGCGCGAACTTCATGCATGGGAGGGGGGTCCCTTGGGGGATGTCCGACTGCCTCTCGCAATCCAGGACCACTGGCGCCTAACTGCTCACCTACTTGCCTGCCTGATTGCCCCTAACTCCTCTCCCTGCCTGCCTGATCGCCCCTAACCACTTCTGCCTGCCTGCCTGGTCGGTCACCCCTAACTGCTCCCCTGCTGGCCTGATCACTCCTAACCGCCTCTGCCTCGCCTTGCACCCGGGACCCAGGATTCCCTCCTCCGGCCGGTCACAGGCACCTGGGACCCAGCCAGCTTCGCCCAGGTGAGCCGCAGCCACAGGGGACCATGGCTGCAGCTACAGGTGCCTGGGACCGCGGAGGGGGGGCTTATCCCTCTCCCAGGCCACAGCCTGGCTGGTCCCCATTCCTCTCTTGCAGGCTCATTTGTGCCTGGCTGGTCTCCATTCCTCTCTTGCGAGCTCATTTGTGCCTTGCTGGTCCCCGTTCCTTTCTTCCCAGTGTTAAGTGTCTGAGCTGTGATGGCGTGAGAGCATGGTGACCATTTGCATATTAGCTCTTCATTCTATAGGATTTATTAACTAGTGTCGTGGTGCACAGATTCGTGCACATTGAAAGGAAATTAATTAGGTTGGGGTAGAGGCCGGAAGCCGGAAGCTGGAGCTGACATGGCATGATCTGGCAGCACTATGACCATCATAGAGCGAGTCAGGGAGCAGTGTCATTGCGTCGGGCTCTGGAGTCGGAGGGGCTGCGCTTCCTGCTCGTTACTGTGGACTCCCTGCTCGCTGCCTATGGCTAGTACATGGTCTTCAGCTAGTACATGGTCTTCGGCTGCATTCTCCTGTTGGAAGTCTTTCAGAAGCTTTCTGCCCACCTGAGGGCCTCCAGGCAGAGGCAGCTGGACAGGGCAGCAGCTGGTGTGGAACCTGATGATATGAGACGACAGGAGGCTTTAGCAACTGTTCGCCTGAAAATGCAGGAAGAATTAAGTGCCCAAGTGGAAAGGCACAAGGAGAAACTATGACAGCTTGAGGAAGAGAAAAGGAGAAGGAAGATTGAAATGTGGGGCTGCATGCAAGAGGGGAAATGCTACAGAGGCCATGCCAGGAAGAAGACAGCCCAGGGGCTTCTACTTCATCCAGCCTCCCCACAAACAGCAAGCAAGCGACAGAAAGAAGCCTCTACGCGTGGGTGGTTATAACCCTTTGTCTGGGGGAGAAGAGGGAGCCTGCACATGGAGACCTGGACATAGAGGCCCATCGTCTGGCAGATGAGGCTAAGAAGCCTTGCCCAGTGTCACTAGCACTTGCCTCTCCAGGGGACCCGGTCAGGGCCGGGCCCAGGGACAATAGCACTGTAAGGCAGTGGAGTAGGCCTCAGTCCCACAGCGGCCACGAACCCGCCTCCCAGATTCAGAGGTCAGCTCCATGAGGAGAAGGAGCCGGGGGTGAGGCCGCGACGATCACAGCCTGGGTTCCTGCCCATTGGCCCAGGGTTTGCAGCGGGAGCAGCTGCTCATCCCAGTCAGCTGAGCGGCACTCCCACTGGGGCAGCGCACTGACCACCAGAGGGCAGTTCCTGCGTTGAGCATCCGCCCCCTGGTGGTCAGGGCACATTATAGTGACTGGTCGACCAGTCGTTCTGGTCGTTCTGCTGTTCAGTCACTGGGCTTTTATTATATAGGATTATTCTATTTTTTTATACAAACTATAAACCTACTTTTGCTCCACCATGTATAATTCTTTTTTTTTAATATATTTTTATTGATTTCAGAGTAAGGGAGAATTAGAAACATCAATGATGAGAGAAAACCATTGATTGGCTGCCTGTTTATGCCTCCCCACCCCCCCATTGGGGATCAAGTGAAACTGGGAATTAAATGCCTTGACTGGGAATCAAACCATGAACTCCTAGTTCATAGATTGATGCTCAACTACTGAGCACAGTGGCTGGGCCCCTGTATAATTCTTATGCTTTAAGTTTTTTGACAGGTGATTTCAGTTAATATGAGTTAGTAATAACATCACTTTTTAACACTACAGACAGTCCTTGGGTTACTTCGGACTCGATGTATGTTGTTTCGTGGTTACGTCACCATCTCCCATTTATTTATTAAAAAAAAAGTTCCATTTTGACGCATGGTGACTATGTAGGTGAGTTCTGACTTACGGCGAAAATCGCGTTACATTGGGCTGTAGGAACAGATCTCCGACATAACCCCAGGACCTGCTGTATTATGTTTGAAAATGATATTAGCAGTTCTAAACATTTAATATATGAAATGTTGCTCTTAAGCTAATTTGTGCATTATGTATGTTTATATGTGCATTTATGGTAAAATCCAGATTAAGCAGAATATTCTAGTAATTCTGACTTAGTCTTTAACATTTAATTAGCACATTAGACATCCTTTTACCTCTGAGTATGTTGAAAATGTTATTCATTTGTATACTTCTGTATACTTCTCAAAGTGTAAACACTTTGAGAATTCAAGTTTTCAGGGACTTGAATTCTTACAATGTGTCAGCATTATGCTAAATTCCATTTTTATTTTATTATTTTTTCCTTAAATGCAGTTGATTGCGCTTTCATTTTTAAATACTTTACTGTGTAAAGGAGTGGGCAGAATGTGTGCTTTTGCTGACTGAACCACAGATAAATTGCTGATAACCAGTTGCTTTCCTATTCAGAACAGGAAGGAACAGGTTTGAATGTTTTGGTTGTGGTTTAATAGGGACATGTGTTTATACACTTCAGAAATCTACATGCTTTGGCAGTGTTTGGATAGGAATTTGGATTTTATTTGAGGTTATTTGTGTTATATCATCAGGTAATCTAAAATACTTGAGTAGCTTTAGTGTTTTATAGTCTTGTCCTCTTTATTTAGAAAAGATGGTATTTATGTTACATGTTTTGGAGAGCTTTTTTAAATATATATATTTTAATATATTTTTATTGATTTCAGAGAGGAAGGGAGAGGGAGAGAGAGATAGAAACATCAATGATGAGAGAGAATCATTGATCGGCTCCCTCTTGCACACCCCCCACTGAGGATGGAGCCCACAACCAGGCATGTGCCCTTGATTGCAGTCTAACCTGGGACCTTTCAGTGTACAGGCTTACACTATCCACTGAGCCAAACCGGCTGAGGCAAGAGCTTTCTTTATATAGGAACTAGGGGCCTGGTGCATGAAATTCGTGCACTGGGGCGGGGGGTATCCCTCAGCCCAGCCTGCCCCCTCTCGCATACTGGGAGCCCTCAGGGAATATCCTAGGGATGGCTTAGGCCCGTTTCCTGCTCCCCTTGGGGATAGGGCCTAAGCTGCAGTCTGGCCTCCCTTTGTGGGAGGTGACCAGGCTGATCAGGGGAAGGTACCAGCCCCATCACCCCGCTGCTGCAGCCACTGCCAGTCACCGCAGCCAGCAAGGTTTTTTCATCAACACAGACTCTAGTCTCTTCACCATAAAAAAATGACAACTTTCTTAGGCATTTTCAAG